AGTAGAGTCTATGTGGTCGACTGCAGGCTAACTTTAAAGTAATGAACTCTTCGGATTAGCTTTTAAAGCCAAGTGGTACCAAGGGCTCTCAAAGTATCAACATTAACCTCTACCGCACGCATTATGATAGACCTATAGAAAAAAATATTTGACTCTTTTTCTTTTCTAAGAATGGCTTAACTTGAAGTGCTGTAAAAAAATTTTTTGAAAAAAATATTATTTTAAGGTACTTTATGATATGTTGCCATACGGCAACAGCATACAATAGTGAATCTAGCTTAGAATAAGTGTAAGTTTACTTATAGTTCATATTTTTCCTCAGAAATGTTGTTTGTGTTGATTCAATTGGTGCTATTATAAGCTTTAACACAATACTTACTTATAATTGACACCTTATACATACTTTCCAACAACTTGTGCTTTTATTTATTCCATTATTTTTTGCTGAATAATGATTTATAATTTTTTTAATTTCATTACATTTTTCATGAATATTATGTAAACTGCAAATTTATACAGTTAAAACAAATATAATACTGTATATCATGTATCATAAAACATTGACATAAAACCAAAAACACTGCAGTTCATGAAAATTCAGCATTACACAATCTTATGAGAGGAAGACTATGAACATGAGCCCCCCATCCCTCCATCCCCCCTTAATCCTTGAAAGATCACCTTTTTTATGAATGAAACTTTAAAAAGCTGTTTTTTTCATCTGCAGGAAGAACCAGTTCTGCCCTTTTCTTAATTACCTTGCCATAAAATATGGCCGTGCTCACTGATGTAATGTTACCTGTATTCATATTTAATCAAAAGTAAAATTGCCATTTCAATTTGATTATATCCATAATACAAATGCAATTAACATACGACTAATCAACATTATATCACTAGTATTAATGTTGTTATTGTTACAGCTTAACAAATTGCAGCTGACCTTGCTAGCTAGCTAAACTATTGTAATAATGTCATTCCACTATTGCACAGTGTTGCCACTTGGCAACACATACATTTGAATGATTTACCAAAAACTAATTTCATAAAAACTTTTTTGAGAGGTGAATATGTCATCATAACATCATAACAGTGATGTTTCCGATTTTTTTGTGGAAGTGACACGGACTGGTCCTTGTTTGTTACTGACGTTTTAGTTTGCTTTCAGCTACTACCGACAAGAGAGGGCAGTCTGTCAGAAATCTCGCCACAGAAAAAAACTGCATGTCATGTGACTTACCCAAAGCACATCATTGGCTAAACTAAGGTCTTCTCTTTCCAACAAAAAAAACGAGAATGTTCTCTTAAAGAGACAGTGGCAAGGAAATGAACACAAAGACCATGTTGCCATATGGCCACACCATGCGGTAGAGGTTTCATGTTTGACTTGATACAAAGCTCTTCTGCCCTGTCTCTTCCTTTCTCTCACTCTCTCGTTGCCTCCCTTTTCCTTTCTGTCGTTCCCTTTCCCTTGTCCATCCATCTGGAGTTGATCAGCTCATTTCCTGACTAGTATTACAGTGAACAATTATCTTCAGATCGGGAGACAGCGGGACTTAAAAGACTCTGAGTGGCAGGGGGCCGAAGAGCAGATGAAAAAGGGGGCACATGTGTCCCATCACCTTAATGAAATCAACCTGACCATCCCGGAGCGACTCCCTCTGCTAACACGACACACTGTCACCACTCATTTACCCCTCCACTCGCACCAAACCGCACAACAAACACACTCAAGCTGACCTGTCACATCTAATTTACACTCAATTATACAACTCTCAGACTGTCGTGGCTAAGTGGCTACTTCTCTGACTCGATGATTTTGGTGGACAAAAAGTGTAACAAATCAGTTAATGTTTCCTTAGTTTTTGACCTTTAACCCTGTAAGAGACTTACAAAATAATGTTAAAAATGTTTACAAAAATGCAAAGAAGATCGTAGATTAACAATTCATAGCTGTCAGTCCTTGATTAAGTGGAAACCATGTCCACCAAAACAAGCAGAGAATTGCTCATTTGCAGGCCTGCCAATCAATTAGACGACAGACAGAAAACTGCTAAAGTTATTTTTTTCCTTTCTTTCTGAGGGTGCATGCCAGGGCACTGACATTTGAACTTGTGGGAGGAGGGTTCCTGACAGACCCCTGTGGCAGTCTGCTCCCATTGAGCGTCCGTTCTAGTGAGAGGATGGGAGGGGAGGGGAGAGTTCCTCCCACTCTGACTTGCCCCACTGTGCCTGGCGTCTCTCTCTCATTAAATGTTGTTGGGGTCGGAGGCAAACGTCTGCTTGGGCTGGGGGGCAGGAAGGATCGCATTAATGAAGGGGACGCCCGCTGTCCAGGTGTCGGGTGACATGCCGTGCCCTGTTTGCGTTTGGGTCTAGAGGGTTTATTGTGACCGCACTTGTGAATAACAGTCTCAGTCTGTTTCGTTGTTTTAGCTCGTGTTCTAATTCCTTCAGTGTCCATATTTAGAAACCACATGTGATATCTTTTTCTAAAGAGTTCTTCGAGGTGAACAGACATCATTCAAATCAACAATGAGTCCAACTTAAGGTGATGGAAGAACTTGAGCGGATATCTCCAGGGGTAATTCTTCTTCACGCTTTTGCTGTGGCAACCGATATTTTTTGTAACCATTCCCTACATTTAAAAAACAATTACGCCAAGCTAGGGCCTTGACCTAAATTAAAAGCCTGTCTCTGTGTTGTAAACTCTTCTCATAAATCAAGGCTTCCGTGCATTGCTCAGTCACTGTCTATGAGAAATGAGAGGTCGCGCAAGGGCCCCTTCATTTACTTGTGGGCGTTTACACGGAAACTTTAGTCATGAAGGTGGGTGAGTCATGAACCCTAATGGCTTCATTGGTTCAGGGATCTGGCACGGCAGCAATCTGTGATTACAAAGCATGGCACATCTCCAGGGATTCAATAAGAGGACCCAGAACCAAAAAGAGGCCAGCTGAATGTTGTTTGTTTGGTCCTTCCCTGTAGGGATTTTTTTTTTAAATGAGGATTTGAAAGTCTTTTAAGTCAATACTTTGCCTTCATTAACAATCAGTGCAGAGCAACATATTATTACCATGTATCACCTTGATAAAAAATAAAAATCCAACAATTGATATTCCAAGCCGCTTTTAGTGTTGCAGGGATGGTGGAACATACACATATTTTTCTATACATTACATACACATACATTTTTTTTTCTATACATTAAAATGATAAATTAAAAAATTCAAAACATAAAAAAGATATCAAGTCAATTGGTTAAATTTTTATATAGCACTTTCCTTATTCAATTTTTTTCAAAGCTTTAAAGAACAATATCACAGTAATAATGACGTAACTTTCATGTAAAGCTACCTTAAGAAGTTATGCCTTAATATGTTGGTCTGTAGCCCCCCAGTGAACAAGCCGGAGGCAACTAAGACAAGAAACCATACCACAACATAACATACTACCTTTTAAAGAAACAGTTACATTTTCAGTTCTTTAAAAAAAAACCATCACTTAGTCAGCAGGTATTTGTCAACAAAAAGGTAGACCTGCACAACAAGGAACCTATCATGTGTTGAGTGAATCATTTTTTTATATTACATGATAATTTATTTGCCTCTAAGTAATACCTTCCTCCCTTGAGCTAATTGAAGCTGGCGCCATCCTCCTTTGGTGGGTAGCAATTTTCTCTCATTACAGCAAATGTTTGCTCTAAGAGAAGGCTCTGGAAGCCTAATAAGGTACTAATAAAAACAAAGCGATGACAGTTGCTGTCACCTGTGCCAAGTCTTGTCATGCAGTGTAATTAGTGAGACAAGGCATGTGATCCCCTATTCTCTGCATTATCTGAGTACAAAGACAATACTTATGTTGCTCTCCTCAAACAAGACTCACATTGAATTGCACCTTCTTACTCTATCCCTTTTGACCCTTACTTGTCCTGAGAGTATTTAGTTTAAACTAAGTTAATGTTTAAAAACTGAACAATGGTGATGTAAAGTTGACAGAATATCATATTTAATGTTCACATTTGAACCAGAGCTAGGTAGATAACATCTGCCAATCTCTGTCATATTCAGTTGACAGAAATCCCTATTGAGTAAAGAATGATCGAGAAATGATATGGCCAGGTGCAAGTTTGATTAGGTGGATCATAGCGTGTGTAAAGCTGGGCACATTTTCTTGTATTTGACTGGGCTGCTGTTTGGTTATTCTGTCACATTTTACTGTTTGTAGGCCGCAGAATATACTTCATCAATAGTGAAGCATCTTGGCTTGTGCGGGATTGTGATTTTAAGTAAAATAAACATGCTGGTACTACATACAGTAAGACATAAACGGGCAACTTAAGACATTAAGCACCTTAAGCTAAAAGCAGAAGCAGATCAACAGAATGGAACAAAATGCTTGAGGCAATTTTTTTTTAAAGTAACTGTTTCCAACATACTCAAAAATGCCACATTTATAGTGATAATCTGATAAAACAGCATAATTTGTCACAGTGGTTGGTAAAAACAACTGTCTAACAAACTGTCTATCAGCTTTATTAAGAATTTTGGGAAACAAACTGTCATGACCCTGCCAACACCAACAGAATTAATTCACTGAGGATTTATGTTTGTTGGAATAGTGTGTGAACTAACAGAACTACAAACAACGAACTCAAATAATTTTTTAAGAGTTTATCCACGTCACCATAAATATGTGCAGTTCACACACTCACTTATTACTCTATATTGTTATCTTTGTTTCCTATTGAATCCATAGCTTTACTTACCAAAATTCCAGAATCTTTCGCTAAATCTGTCGCTGTCATTTTGTCAATCATAATGATGGACACTTTATTGCAAACTCAGTAAGCCAATCACGAGTAATAGAGCGCGCTGCCTAATTCAGCAGCGTTCTCATTGGTCAAAAGTTCTCCCGTCGCCGTGTGCTGCTGAGCAACGGAGCGCTCGCCTTGATTTGGCAGCGCTCTGATTGGCTGAAAGTTCTGTTGTGGCCGAGTGCTTCAAGGCATCAAAGGCTTCATGCTTTTTTCATGAGACGTCAGAGTGACTTTGAAGCTCGAGGATGTCCGCGTCCGCGAGCTTGAAGGAATCAGACGGAGATCGGGACATGGAGCAGCGCAGAACCCAAGTGTCAAGCCACCCATTCAGCGTCGAGTCTCTTATATCTAGCCACAAAACCAGTAAAGACTTTGAAAGACGGCGCGAGGATGTATCCAGCCAGTTTGCGAAGACTGAGATCAGGGATTCTTGTGGCTCGGCTGGAATACAAAAGCACTTTATGCAGACCTCACCCGTCAAATCGGAGTCCCCTGAGGTGGATGACTGCACACCATGGGTTATGAACTCTAGATTCGCTCAAACACGTAAGCAATTTAATTTTCTGAACGAACTGCTTATGCTTTAAATTAAACAATATAAATTACGACAGGGTCTATAATCGTCATAAAAATGATCTTTCCTAAAACGAGCAATTTGGCTCATTTTATTGAAACTTATAGGAGATCTAAAAAGTGTCAATGCTGTCTTCTTAATTTATACATAGCCGACATTTCATGATTACTTCGTATTAGGCAATTTGCAAATAAAGCGAATACATATGCTTAATATTCTGTGAAAGTATACATTTAATGGAAACTAGAGACACATGAGGGCCAACTGCTCTGAAAACACAACGCCATAAGCAGTTTCGTGTTTTATTTAGGAGAACTCTGATTTAATTAAGAACATAACACTAGTATACATTTTTTTGTAATTAAGCGGAATAGCCTATGTACAGTAGATGTCTTCTCAAACCTTGTCTGTGGTGTAAAAACACCCCTGGCCAAATGCCCCCAGAGGGCATCACTTCCCACTTTGATAATTACTGTAGTTACCATGTTCTGAACATCACATCCTTTCTTTTTCCCTCAGATGTAATCTATCTAGGTGGTCGAATAAAAATATTTGGACTTTATTTTAAAAAAGTTACCTAAATTTAGCACCAGCAATTAGAGACTCTGATGTTAATGTGTCTGCATTCAAGCATTTCAGTGGGCTTAAACAGATCACCCTTTACAGCAGATTTAGTTCACAAACAACTGACAGCTTAAATATGATTTTCAGTTACAATAATTAATCCTAAAATTCAACATTAGTAACTTACTTTTAAAGCAGCACTATGTAACTTTTGGCACTGCACAGAACTGCACACATCCCGCGAAAGAACATTCCAACCGGAGCTACTTCTCTAAGTTTATGTCTATGGCGATTCACGCAGGTATGTGTTACTCCGCAGCGGTGATGACCCAACCAGGCTACAATAGTCCAAATATAAGTACTTATTATAAGTGTACCGTAGTGATTCGGAATAAGACAAAAACGCGGTTTGGAAGATGAATTCATGATGTACTCGCTCATTATATACATTTAGCAAATTTTGAACACAGAAAAAGTTACATAGTGCTGCTTTAACAGCATCAGACGCGCGGGCGCTCACAAGATCTCCCAGTTCTTACTTGTGAATTCAGTTCACTGGAGACTCGCACTAAACGGATCATTTGAATCAGTTTTGTCGACTCAAGAACAGCTGCAATCGGTTCATTCTAATTCGTGAATGAATCGTTTGGTGCGATTTGCGATCCGATTTAACGGGTTCATTGAAAATAATCAGTTCGCTCATGAATCAGACACCGCTTCTGCATGTGATATTATATATATTATAAGGAGTAACGATAAGTTTTATCGTTGAAATGTAGTGAAGTAAAAAGTACGATCTTATGCTTTGGAATGTAGTGAAGTAAAAGTAAAAGTTACTCAAAATAAAACTACTCCAGTAAAGTACAGATACAGTAACGAAGTAAAACTACTTTGTTACTGTCCACCACTGCAATATCGAAATATATTTACTAAATATAACAAAAATGTTATTATAGCTTTATTTTAATTGTACTTATCCCCTACCTTCGCATTCGTCATAATAATTATTAAAATGATCAAAGTAAAAAATAATTAAAGTAAAACACATTCACATGCTTACATTATGTATACTTGCATAAAGTGTATGCTTTATTTTTATTTGAACTATGAAAACACTATAATTAAATTAGTTTAAAATCTATTTTTGACTAACCTAAAATCTACAAGAAATTTATTCATGATTACATTTTGCTACACTAACTTCTTTTCCCACCACAGGCCAGGTAAGTGCCTGTCCTCTCCGCAAGCACAAGACCAACCGTAAACCCCGTACGCCATTCACCACCTCACAGCTCCTGGCCTTGGAGCGAAAGTTCAGACAGAAACAGTACCTGTCCATTGCCGAGCGAGCAGAATTCTCCAGCTCCCTCACCCTCACAGAGACCCAGGTGAAGATCTGGTTCCAGAACCGACGGGCCAAGGCCAAGCGTTTGCAAGAGGCAGAGCTGGAAAAGCTCAAACTGACTGCCAAACATGTCCTCCACCCCAATTTCAGTTTGCCTCTTCCTCTTGGAACCCAACTTCATTCGGCCGTCTCACTCTATGGCCAGTCGTATCCCTACCAGAGGCCTTTATTGCCTGTTGCTCCAGTGGGACTCTATGGAACACCTTTAGGGTACAGCATGTATCACCTCGCTTGAGAAGAAGTGCTACAGTATGGACTAGTACTGATCTGAGGATGTACAGAAAGACAATGTTTACAAACCTTGGGTGTCCAAGTCTGAAAAAAAGCAGCAACCAAAAAATTTCATTCGATATTTCATAATGTGCCTTCACTCACGTCTTAAAATACATGAAATAAAAAGCGGGACATTTTACCTCACTTTCCAATGACTGAAAGATCAAATTTTACCGTGTCGATGGATAATGCTGTTGCCAAATCTTTTGTGTATATTTGTGTCATACATCTTTATGTAATATATTGTAAAACTAATTATTTTGTGTACAGAATACTGAGTTTAAATTCCACCACATTTAATGTTGATGGATTTTTACCCTGTAAGAAAGTGTTCTGACAAGTTCATTACACATTGTTTTTACTTTAATTGGTTTAATTGACGGACAGTATTTTACAGAGGTTGTTTTTGAAACAAATTAAACGTCAAGGTGAATGATTTTATATGATAAATACATTGGTATGTTCACACTGTGAAATGTACGAATTTGACAGTGAATATGATATATGCAAAGATGTCTTTGAAATTAGTCACTTGTAACTAAAATGTGGAAGTGTATTTTTCTGGCCACATTTTTATATATTTTTATACTATAATTCTACGTCACTGAAATCTGACATGTACAGTAAACTGCAATTGGCAAGCAAACACAATAGCATTTGTTTATTGAATTAGTTTATTAAATTCATATTTCTGTTTCATGTTTGAAAAAGTATGTGAGAGTTTTCGCAATCGCATTTATATTCATAATATTCTCTTAATTTCCTTTAAGTGCACCTCTAATTTATTTATTTTGTATTTTTTTAAAGCAGGTAACACTTTACAATAAGGTCTCATTCGTTAACCTTTTTATTCAAATAGCAAAAAGTTATTTTTTGAAAAAAAATCCAAGGCTGTTCATATTACAGGAACTACCCACACTGAAAAAAAAAATGATTAATTTAATTTACTAATTTTTTTAAGATAAGTGGTTGCAATCAATTTTAGCTACATTTAAATAAACAAATTTAGTTGACTAACTTTCAACACTTTTTTTTATTTAAATGTAGCTAAAATAAATTGTTTGCAACCACTTACCTTAAAAAGGTAAGTCCCAGGAATGTTTTTTTCTAAACTATCAATACATTCTTGCATAATGAATTATATATGAATATGAATTATAAAAAAAATGTCAACAAAGTAAAGCAATTTCTTGCAAGGAAGCTTTATATTCATTTTCATTAACAAACAGTATGCATATTAGAAATTTGAGCATACATATTACAGTATATCTAAATATGAACAATTTATGACTTTTATAAATATGGTCATTGGTTAAATAATGATTTGTTAAAAATGATATAGTAATGTTATTATTGAAAGGTATGCTAAAATGTTACCGATTAGTTCGGTTTGACCTCTTTACTGCCTTGTTATGGCTTGTTCATTAGGTTGTGGCTCTATAAATGGAGGGCCCACTCGAGGGCCCATTTTACTGCTTCCGCGTGACTTTGATGCAATCAGGAAATCATTTATGGTCAGCACTTTACTCATGAGCTTCCTTTAATCAAAACACGAACCCAGTCATGCTAATCAAACACAGAGCCGCTAAAGTGTTCGCCGATGTGTTTTATAATGTCGACTTTGAGCCACTTACGAGAGTGCAGTGAATCTGGGCAATTTGCCTGATCCTGTTCCTGTGGTGTAAAAAAAAGTCAAAAGACTCTCTGAAGCTAAATTCACAAAGCTGTCAAGTTGTTCAGAACTTGTTTAAAAACCTGCCACATATCGGTAAGTGCAGTCTGTTTTATTCTTTGTTTCTCATTGGAAAAATCAGAAAGATCCATTTCTAGACTTTACCCACAATTTTTGTTTGTGGTCTGAGAGGTCAAATATCAAATCGATATATATATATATATATATATATATATAAACTTGAAATTAAATGGGGGTGGACTTATATTTAATTATATTAATTGATTAAATTAATTCTTTTATTATTATTATTACTATTGATTGATTGATTGATTGATGTATTTATTGATTTTCAGGAGTCAAATTAATCGGGCTACAATTCTAAAATTGCATTTACATAGAGAAATAATAATAGAATTTAACTGCTGGGTTTCCATTCGGTCAGAGAAATATATAAAAAGAATTTAAAAGGGGAAAAATGGGTTAATTTAGAAATTCACTATTATTCTTTTTACACATGCTTCATTGCACAAAAAAATTGAAAAAAATATAGTCTGAACAGAGCAGGTAATGGTGCCAGTCTTACTTTAAAATGTTTCCTGTAAAATTAGAGATGGGGATTATTAAAGTCATGATTTCCTACAGTCCCAGATTAAGTCTTCAAAGCTCTTATAATACAGTAATTACCACTGACAAAATAACTGAATCAAACATTTCATTAATCTCCTTTATTGTGGTGTACACTAAGCCCTAAAATAGATAAACTGTGGACACTATGTGCACAGAATGTCCCAGATTCAGCCTGTATGTGATCTGACATATTCTATCGCCACATTAATGATGATGACTGTACAGTGTACACTTGGGTCAGGAACATGCTGTCCATGTTTAATGTTGTTCCTTCCATTCCTTCTCTTGATTTAGACCTCCTCTGCTGGTTACAGGGAGAACAACACCATTATGAGATACAAATCAAAATGACTGGCTGTGTGTACTTCCTAGTGGTATTCCCTTGTATGATATCTTATGCATTCCCAGCCAACGTTTTTTGCTTAATGTGGTGTTTATGGTTATGAAAAACATTTAGGCTACTATATTTTATATTTTATTACTCTAACAATGTCATGTGCTGCAGCCATTAACTACTAAGTAGGAATGCATTTTCCTTACATGTTGAGTACATGTCAGTGCACACACCTAAAAGCTTTAAAAAAAATTATTTTATTTTATTTTAAACAACTATCATGAATTAGTCATTTATAAATATCATTACATTTGTTGGGTAGTCACACATGACAATTTACAACTTACATCCTTACCTATTCATTCATTCATTCATTCATTCATTTATGCCAAGCTACTTTATTTATTTATTTTATTCATTATATTATTATTTTTTCAGACTTTATGGCTAAATATCAAAATTAACTTAAATTCGGAAATGAAACATGCTCATCATAAAGAATGTGTATTCAAATTACTGTATAAATGAAGTGTATTTTAATGTAAACTTGTAGGTGTCAGACTCTGTTCCATGGATCCGCCATGGCCTCCCGAGGATCCTGATCCGCCATGGCACCCCGTGAGTAGAGCATTTCCAAACCGGAAGAGCCTCCCATAATCTAAAGCACAGTAGACTCTTCAGGAAAAGGTGGCTTAGCGCAAGAGCCTTACTGTCAGACTCTGTTCCATGTTTCGTGTGTGTCCTGCTCCCCATGTGCCTTCCCATGCCCTTATTTGGTTTGTTTCCAAGTCCTGTCCTAATTTAAGTTGATTTCTTCCCAGGTGTTTCCCTTTAATTTCCATTGCTCCCAGGTGTGTCTCGTCATCCCCTCCTCCTGTGTGTGTATATAAAGTGTTCCCAGTCCCTAGTGCTCTGGCGGATGTTGAAGGTCTTCGTGTGAACGTCTTCCTGTGTTCGTCTCCCTTGGTTCCTTCCTACGAATAAAGTCTTGTGTAAAGTATTCTCCAGCGTCTCCTCGTCCCTCGTGTGTGTGCACCCGTGACAGTAGGCTATAAATTAATAGATTAAAAAAAAAATACTCATGAATGTAACATAGTTAACAGTTAATTTTCAGTTGGTAGTAGTAACATGATGCTATGCATTGAAGAAGACAGAAGAGCATGAACTCGTTACACAAACTTTTTTTTTAAATTACTTTCCAAAAGGGATCTTGCAGTCACTGGTCCCAAAATGGATGCTTTTCAGATGCAAACAGGTGTAAATAAAGTGTTTTTGCATGCTTTTCTTAAAATAAAATTCACTTTGGTTGCATGTCACATTATTTATTACTTTATTTTAATTTATTACACATTATTAGCATGCTTCTACTTATCAAATAAAACCAAATAATCAACACATAAGATGAAGTTGACAAATGTTGCACAAGCATCTTGGATTAAGCAGATTTGCATTTAGTATATGATGTTTAATCTAACTGTAAATAGAGATTTATGGAGGAAATAAAGTAAAAATCCTCCTCTAGGTTTCTGATGATAAAGCATACTGCCATATGAAATTGCACGCAGTCATCTAAACTGCATCTAGTATTAATGAAAACTGCCCAAACACACACGCTTTATCATTTATATTTTTGGCCTTGGCTAGCTGTTGAATGCTTGTCTATTCCTGACTTCATTAGTCAGACAGCCTGCTAAAGGTACAAGATCACTGGAAAATTAGCTCTTTAAATAGGGATCAACTGCTATTGGTTTTCAATTACCATGGATGCCTTCATATTTAAGTATAATGGAACATTTTCAAGGTAAAATATGTAATTAAATGATTAATTATTATATGGGTATTTACTTTCACAAGTGTGTTTTAGAAGCTTGTTGTGCTGGGTGATGCATCATGCTGTCATAAGTATAAAGGTTATTTTTGGAATCGGTGGTTCCATGAAGAAACATCCATGGAACCTTTCCATTCCACAAAAGGTTCTTTATATTGAAAAAAAAAAAAAGATTATTTTTTAAAATGTTCTTCACACAAATAAAAAAAAATTTTATTTTAAGAACTATTCACAAAAATGTTCTTTGGAGACCTAAAAATGGTCACTGCAAGAACCCCCTTTTGGAACCTATATTTTTAAAAGTGTATGTTGATCTGTCGGTCACAAGGAGGATCACATCGAGATGTAAACATGGGAGGGATGTTGGCATCCAAAAAGGTGTTTATTTAAAGCAGATGGACAAAGTTTACCATGCTTAAAGTCCCCATGAAATCAAAATTAAAGTTTTTTGGGTGTTAGCATCAATATGTTAGTCTTAAGGTTATCTATAAGGCAGTGTGCTCCAAAACAGTGACAAAATTCGCATTTAGAAGATATAAGCATTCAAAGCTTGCAGTTCGTCTCTTCCACCAAAACGGCTCAACGATTTTTTTATTTTTTATTTTCATCTTCTCATCAAATCTTCTGACCAATCAAATACTCTCTAGAATCCGAAGCGCCCGCCTCCTGCACTATGAATAGACGCTGAAGCTCTGGCTGAGATCGCTCACTTGTTCACAGTGTAGTATTTCCTGTACAGTGAATGGCTCGTAGTGCACAATGTAGGTGATAGGGAACGATTCAGATGGTGTAAATATGCTTTCGATTGGTGCAAATGAGGT